CCGGAACTACAGCCCCCAGCAGCCCCCGCGCGGCCCCGGCGCGCCCCGGCCGCGCTCCCAGCGTGCCGCGCGCGAGGCGCTGTCGTGGCGCTTGCGGGTGAATGGTGCGCGGCCGCCGCGCCGAGCCCCGYYGAGTCCCTGCGGCGCTCCCGGYCTCCTCCTCCTCATCCTCCTCTTCTTCCTCCTTCTCCTCCTCCCGCGGCAGCTTAGGGCAGAGCCATGAGGCGCGCGGGGCTGGGTAAGCGCAGTGGCGGAGCCGCGACACGGGCAGGGCCCGGCCCCTGGCAGGGCTCGGGCGGGGGAGCCGTGAGGGGGCTGTGCCCGGGGGTGCAGGGCTGCGGCAGGGCTCGGCAGCTTTGGCGGGGAAGGGTCCTCACTCGTGGCCTTTGCCTCTCCTGGCCCAGCTGGATTTACGGAGCAGCACTAGGGTTTGTGTTTTGTTACAGAATCATAGGATTTGGTTTGGAATTAACTTTAAAGACCATCTAGGTCCGCCACCCATGCCCTTCTCTAGACCAGATGGGCTCAGAGCCCCGTCCAACCTGTCCTTGAACACTTCCAGGGTGGGCCATCCACCGGTTTTCTGGTCAGCCTGTTCCATGCCTCAGCACCTTCACAGTAAAGCATTCTTTCCTATGTCGCATTTAAACCTATTGTCTTTCAATTTGAACCCATTCCCATTGTCCTGTCACTACATTCTTTTGTAAATAGTCTTGTCCCATTTAGTTGTGCTGATGTTCAGTTGTTCTAATACCGTTTTAGTTTGAGCCATGTTCCCATGGTTTATTTTGTTTGTTTTTTTTGTTTGTTTTTTTTTTTTTTTTATTTTAGTATTTCTGCATGTTTTCCTGCTGCGTTTGGGGAGAAAAAAAACCCGAGAAACCCAACTATTATAAGTTTATTACAGATATAATCTGGTACATATTGAGAAATCTTTGCAGAATTGCTGCTGAGTTTTTTGAGCAGCTTAGGCCTCATATTTCAGCTAGCAGTCATGTTGATGACTATAAAGAAACTTTGAACTCCCACGTCGTGTTCTACGTCATGTGCGTGCTGTAACGGCGCTGTAAAGCTTAGGGGATGTTTATGCCTCGGAATTGTATGACTGAGTTCTTCCTAGGAACTATTTAGGGCTAAACCAAGTGTGTCTGACACTACCCTAGATTTACTCCTACACTTCAGATTTGTATTGTGCAGTAATATTTTCATAGAGTAAAATAAATCTTGGAAACACTTCTTAGTGGATCAAAGAGGTGTTAGGATGCTTATCATAAAAAATGTGGGCATCTGATAGTGCTTAGATCTTCAGTCCTTTCTTTCATCACACTGACAGCTCACTCTTGGGTGTGAGCTGAGAGAGGTGGACTGGAGGCCACCCAGCTCACTTCTGACGAAGTGATGGATGCTTATGCAAGGAGTTCTGAAGAAAGGGCATACCTGATTTTAGGCTGTCTCTGGCAAACAATTCCTTAAGGATCATCCTGAAACTGCATTTTAAAAAAATCTTCTGGAAGGTTAAGCAGAACACTTAAACATCTGTTATCAGCTGCAGTAAAATTTTCTGCTTTACCTTGACATTTCAGCTGGCAGTTCAGAACGTTTTTATTTAATAGGTTGGAAATAGAAGCAATTGTCTGCAATTGTCACCAGCTACCTCTCTCTTAGTCTGCTGTTCTGTTTGGTCATGTCCCTATTACTTGTCAGTGAGCACTGCTGCATGACAGTGTTGCCATGCTGAAGATTCTGTGCTTCCCATGAGCAGTTGCAGACAGGCTTTTTCCTTTTGCTTCCTATGACATTAAAAGAACTGTGCCTGTTGAAAAGTTTTAGGGCACTTGTTCATGTCTGCATTGTCACAGTCCATATAAGAATCCCAGTTGCACTGTTTTGGCAATGGTATAATTACTTAAAATCATGTGTCACTTGGTAGCAAGTAACTTGCTAGTTAGACGCACTTGTGAAATCAGACACAGTGAGAACAACCCTGACTGTCTAAATTAAAAAAAATTTAATAAAATGTCTATATTAGGCATTGGTACTTTTAATTTAGGTCAGGGTAAAAAGTCTTCTTGACTCACTGTGATGAAATAAACGTACCTTTCATCACAGCCTGCAACTTCCTCTTGAAGGGAAAAGGAGGGGCAGGCACTGATCTCTGCTCTCTGACCAATGACAGGACCCGAGGGAATGGCCTGAAGTTGTGTGTCAGGGGAAGTTTACATTGGATATTAGAAAAAGGGTTCTTCACCCAGAGGGTGGATGGGCTCTGTAACAGCTCCACAGGGAAGTGATCACAGCCCCAAACCTGACAGTTCAAGGAGCGTTTGGACAACACTGTCGGGCACATGATGTGACTCTTGAAGATGGTCCTGTGCAGCACCAGGAGTTGGACTTTGATGATCCTTTTGGGTCCCTTCTATCTCACAAGATACTGTTATTCAGTCTTGTTGAAGATCTCTCATTAGCTTAACTTACAGAGTAACGATTTACAAGTACAAATGAAAAAATCTTCATGACTTAGATCTAAGGAATGGCTGCATGAGTTAGTATAAAATTATATCATTAAAATAGCACTGTAATGCTCTATTTTGAAATATTATGTATGCCAAGCACATGGTGACACTGTTTGAGATGGAGCTCTTGAAGTGAGTGTGGTTGGTGTCTCTTTTCTCTTTTTTTCCTCAAAAAAAAAAAAAACCGCAAACACAAAAGTCTTTAAGGCCTATTTAAAAGCAATTAAATTTTTGTGTGCCATTCTGACTAGGCATAAAACTATTTGTATATATTTAAAAATAATTATTAATGTTACAATTGGATTGTTAGTTGAACTAATCTAGTGGGATCTTTATCATAAAGTTTATAGTAATCTTTTTCTGGTTGCCTTTCTAAGTCTTGATCTCTCTTTATTGTTTTCAATTCTTAGATTTGAGGTCTAAGACTGATTTTTATCTCAACTGGACATGACTTTAATTCTCCTGTCCCCATGCCGCTGTACAGCTGCTCTCTGCAGGAGACCTTTATTAGAGGTTGGAAGAAAATGTATGGGCCTGAGGAGCTTTCATTCCCTTCTGCTCTGACTCAGTTGTATTGGATGACAGTCCAGATAGCTGTATTGGACTCAGTATTCTGCTGACTCAGTTGTCTTGATGACAGTCCTGAAGCTCCATCATCCAAAAAACATAGGCAGGAGCAAGAATACAACTGCAGAACAGTGACTGAAACAGCAGTGCTCTGCTCAGAGGCCTGGCTTCTGCTTTAAAGTTTTGTTTGTAAAGAAGCTCATGTAAGGAACATAGTAGAGTTCCTCTTTTATACATGTGATCAAGTGATCTTTGTATTTGTTAAAGAGTGACCTCAACTCTATTTTCAGTTTGATTTACTGCATGTAATGGCCTCAGTGCTTCCTTCACCTCTCCATGTAATGCCTGGATAGATTTCCATAGAACTTACCTGAAAACTATCAAGGAAAAAAAAATCACAGCCATTCTTCAGTTTCTCTTTTTTTATTTGTATGTTGAAGGGTAACTTAGGCATTTAGAAAAAGGTTGAGTCCCTGTTCCAGGAACATGCAGAGCACTTGCTCCAGTGGAGTTTTCTGTCTCTGACTGCTGACTGTTGTGTTTACAGGTGATGGAGCAGCTGCAGGTAGCTATGGCTACACCAACAGTGGGTACAGTGTTTATGAAGAAGAGAATGACAGGTTAACAGAAAGTCTGCGYACRAAAGTCAGTGCCATTAAATCGGTATGTATTCTGTTACAGGGGTATAGTCACATTTATTGAATTAAATTATATGAATCAGGGAAGCAGCAGACTTAGTTTAAAACAGAAATTTAAAACTGTGGTGTGTTAACCTGGTTGGATTCCAGGTGACCACCAAAGCTGCTCTATCACTCCTCAGGTGGGTGGATGAGGGAGGAAAAAGTCCAATGAAAGGTTGGTGCATCAAGACAAGGGCAGGGAGAGATCATTCACTAATTACCATCATGGGCAAAACAGACTCGATTTGGGGAAATGAATTTATTGACAGTCAAACCAGTAGGGTAATGAGAAATAAAATCTTAAAATGCTTTCMTCCTACTCCTCCCTTCTTCCTGGGCTGAGCTTCACTCCCAGTTTTCTCTACTTACTACCCTTCAGTGGTGCAGGGGAACMGGGAATGGGAGTTGCAGTCAAAAGAATATGCAGTGTGGAAATAGCTCTTAGAAATAGTATGCTAGTATCATGGTTGGTGTTCTAATGATTCTGAATCCTTTCAGAGATTGAGGACTTCTTTAAATAAGCCTAATTGAAAGACAGCTCTGAGATTAAAATTATGTGGTTTTCTTGTTCTTAAAAGCTGAAAGTTTTCTGAAATACATTCCAATTCATTTTTAGGCCTGAACTCATTTAAAGTCCTACTGCTAATACTATTGCTTAAAATTGGTTTAGTCTCAAAGAGAAGTTGAACAGGATTAGAGTAAGAATTTAGAACAAGTTAAGGGGTAAAAAAARGCTTTGACCTTTGTAATCAAATTTYATTTCTTGTCTCCTCCTTTGGTATGTTACATTTCAAAATCCTGGTATGTCAACAGCGCAGTTGATGGTGCCCCAAGGAGCTCTTTCTGAAGTTGCATCTTTTAGTGCAGTGTGATAATCTTGGCACATGAATAGCCTTCACATAATCTTCCAAGAAGCCTCATGTAAAATCAGTTTTACTTTTGACTGAAATGCTTCAGTAGAGAATAAGATTCATGTTGTAACCTGTGAAAACAAATGGGTTTTGGCTAACACAAAGCATGGAGGCCTGGAGTGCATTTCCCTCCATCCGAGGAGTTGAGCTGGTTGTTCAAGGCCAGTGTGCTGATAAAAAAGAGGAAAAGCTGCTGAGTCAGGCTCAGTGCCAGTTCTCCCCTGTTTAACTCCAGAGCTGCTTTAAACCAACGCTCTTCTGGCTGGCTCCCACCTTTGCAATGTTGCAGCTGTGTTGCAGCTCCAGTTGTGCCTGGTTTCATACCTCCCTGATTCCAGCCCTAACCTGACTTAACTTCCTGGCTTGCCCTGGGACCTGTCTCAGAACTGGCTCTCCCTGGCCTGTGCAGATTTTCTCCTTGTCCTGTGTTGCCCTTCTGTTCTGTGTGACACAAAGCAGAGAAGGGCTACACAAGTTCACTGAAGAAAGTCCCATTTATAGCACAGCAACAGCTTGTCAAGAGATGTGTTTTCAGGTTACAAGTGTCAACTCCAGCAACACTCAGTCAAACCACTGCTCGAGGTTCTCTCTGCTTTATGTCAGCAATTTCAACAGTTGTTCCAGGAAATGGGTAATTGCTACTTCAGACTTGACTAGATCTTGAATTTTTAAGAGTCCATGCACTAATTCAAGTAAGACATTATCTGGAAAAGGGGAATAGGGGCATTGAGTACTTTCTGTGACTCTGTAGACTCATCTAGTCAGATGGAAAACCTTTATTTCGTTAAGGGTTATTGATATAATACGGTGCATGTTATTTTGTTTTTTGAAAGCATCAGGTACTGCTTTCACAATTTACCTGGGGAAATGCTAGTCATGTCATGTATTTTGGATTGGGTTCTCTAATCTATGTATAACTGGTTATTCATATTTCATACTTTTGTTTTTTGTTTCTTTTTTATAGCTTTCCATTGAAATTGGAACAGAAGTTAAAAACCAGAATAAAATATTATCAGAAATGGTATGTATTTAAAACCTAGATTTCCTTAAATATGGGTCAGGATTAAGAAGTTAATAATACAAAGCATCCCATCTTTTAGTATGAACATTTGTATTAAAATGTTGACAGCTTATTGTTGACTATAACATGTGACCAATTTGASAAGAGTATTTCTGTTCAAAAAGWTAAGATGTGCAAATACATTACTTKTAAGACACAACCAAGCTCMTTTGGCTTCAGWTATCACTATGGGTTTTCATTTACCMAATGTATATTATCATTAAAAAGACACTGCTATTTTTAATTGTATTCCAGAATAGAAGAAGAAAGCAAAAAATAATGAAGTCAGAAACTCCTCTTTTGCTTTGGCTTGGGGAAAAAATAGCACTAGGTAAATGGATGAAGGTTTTTCCTGGTTAATTTTTGCCTCTAATTTTACTTTTGGAAATTTTGAAAAAACAAGGAAAACTACACTTAGTGAGCTGTAAGGATATTTAATTTCTCAGAGTAACATGTTTTTTGTTGTTTTGTTTGCTTCTTTATTTTTTTTAAATGTAGGAGAATGATTTTGACTCCACGGGCGGACTTCTAGGTGCAACTATGGGCAGACTGAGAACACTCTCCAGAGGAAGCCAGACAAAACTATTATGCTACATGATGCTCTTTTCATTGTTTGTTTTCTTTGTAATATACTGGATTATTAAACTGAGGTGATTCTTGTTACCTCTGGTTTACATTGTGTAATTTCAACTTACAGTCTTAATTAATGAAGACATTGATCTAAAGTGGCATTTCTGTTGATAAAACACAGTGAAATTGTTGTAAATTGCATTAACTATTAATGCGAAGTTATATATAGTTTTCTTAATGTATCGGAATTTTTCCATCATCCCCTGTTTTGGGGGGATTATTTGTAAATATGCAGAAAACACTAGCAAACCATAGATTTTTTTTTTTTTTTTTAGGGAAAAATAGTTTTTAGAATTGATTAAAAAAATTTAAAAACCAATGGTTGTTTGAGTATGAAGTAATTGAAGAATTTCAAGACTTTCTTTTTCATTCTGCTTTTCATTCTGGGCCATGCTCTAAATTAGAGCTCCAGTGTCAGGCATATAGTAATTCCTAGGTTGCAAAAGCATGAAGAATACTTGGATCTTTCTAAATAGGCCTTACCTGTGTATTTTTAAAACACTGGCCTGAAACTAACAGTAGTGATACCCCCAAAAATTACTTTTGTGGTTAGATGTGATAGTGTTTAAGTAGCTTTAACTGTGTATTCTGGGGAAAAGTTACTTAAAACTGGATTTTTATTTTTTCAATTTCAATGTGACAAATCATGTTTACACATCTACTCTTTTAAGCAAATGCCTTTGCTCATCAGGACCAACCAATATGGACATAGTATAGATATTTTCTTTATATTAAAAGTATCTAAAACTTAATGATTCCATTGAATCACTCAAACTTTTACCATTAGTATGTTTCAATTTGTGATAGGTCCTAATTCTACAATACATGATGTCTGAAATACAATGGCAGAACTTTGTATTTTCTATTAAAGTATATTATGATGCACTTGTTGGAGGTGTAGTCCCAATAAGGTCCTTTATTTTGAAGATTTAGCTTTGGCTCACCAAGTAGTGAGGCTATTACATTGCTGAGTTTAACATTCAAAAAAATTCTAAGTTTTCTAGATATTGAAATTGTATCTACAATTTTTAAAAAACTTTTCTAGAAATACTGTATAATGTGTTGCCATTAATGACCAATTATGAACTTACCAATAAAGTGTCCTGTAGTATTATCCTAGCTAGTGGTTTTATATACATTTTTTTCCTACTGTAGAATACCAGTATATATTTTTAAATAGTGCTGCATTTAAGGGGCAATTAATCAATAATACGGGCTGCTTCTTCTGACTTAAATGGCTGTTTTAGGTAAGTTCAAGTAATTATGCACAGCTTTCATATTAACATGTTTATTTTTAATATTTTTCTTTAATAATTAAGCACAAAAGATGGTACATTGCTGCTGAAGTTCAGGCCTCCAAAAGCTTCAGACACAATTAAACAGTTGTTTGCAGAATTCTGTAGCAAAAACCAAAGTCTATTCCCATCACCAAAAATCTATGACAGTGTGTAGTACAAATTGATATGGATTTGGTAAAGAGGACAGCTCACTTTGATGATTGCTTGCTAAAAGTGAAAGAGGGAAGGTACCTGTAATTGAGAGGAAAGGCACTGTTCTTGGGTTTGGTTGTGGCAGGGAGTCATTTGTGCCTTAATTATTGATCTTGAAAGCAAAGCTGTGTACTGAACTTAGATTAAGCTGCTTATGAAATCATAGCTGTATTCATATGGAAGTTCTGTTTCTTAATTAGCAGCTTTAGATTCTCTAAAGTGTAGGTAAAGCTTGATTAAAGAACTCATTTTTTCTGTATGCTTAGCATGGGTCATTGGAAAACCTAAGTAGCCCACTGAAACAATGGAATGCAGGAGGCTGCAACTTTTCAGAGTGTTTCATATCAACAAAAAATTGGCACTGGAGAACACAGAATGGTAATGGTGAAAGACCTTGATGTGCATTTTGATGGCAAATTAGTGATCTGTTTTCTTCTTGAAACGTACTGGCTGCGTGTCACCTTCAGTGTGCAGTACAAGTCATGCTGTCGCTTTCTTAATTTTCAAGGAAGAGTGGAAATGCGTCACTTTCTTGGAAGTATTTCCATGTATTTGCATATGATGGAAAGCATGGTCTCATCTGTGCCACCTCCTATTGATATCAATCGCAAGTCTCTGCAGAAATACAAAAGGTAGATTTAAACATTTGCATGCTGTTCTGATGGTGCTCTGCTGGACAGCTTGCCCACAATATTTACACATTGCATATGAACACCAGATGCCTGCAGAACACCTCATCCACTGCCTCTTGGGCTGGTGGTCTGTGATACTTCCCTCAACACCCCTAGTCCTATCCCAAACCTGTAGGTGCCTAAGCCTGAAGTTGAACTGTAGGAGGGGAGAGAGCTTTTCCATGGCCAACAGCAAAAAGCATTGCATTGCTTAAATTTGCTTAACTGGTAAAAGAGTCAACCAGCATATGAGGTGTTGGAGAATTGTACAGAAATGGTACAATTTCCAGTCAAGGTTTTTAACCAATCCTGGTTTCCCTAATGGCTATGTAAGATCTGGTAGAAGCCTTATTAGTATTATATAGTCCTTTAATATTATGTAGAATAATAATATTAGTGTTGTATAATATTCTAGTACAGTTTTATATAGTCTGTAAAGCTGTGCTTTAAAAATGTGTGGCTGCTTCAAGAATATTTACTTTTGAGATTTCTAATCCCACTCATTTTAAACCTACCATTACTATCATTAAGTCATCCCTAACAGGATTAGGGATGACTAATCTAAGTTCCCTGTGCTAGCCAGAATGCAAACTACTGCAACCTCAAGCAATTTTACTCACAAATTTCTTTCCTCCTTTGGGAAGAAGAAAAACACCACCATCACACCAATAAAACCACCATAACAGTTCTGCTAAACTATCTCTACTCAGTAAGCTGAAAATTCCCCACCTTCCTATGGGCCTTGCTGAAGGCAGCAGACCTGAAACAGTGGTAGGTTGCTGCTTCTTAGTGCTGCAGTGCTGGCTGCTTTGTCAAGCTTCAGAAAGCCCCTGCCAACGCTCAGCATTTGGCATCTTCACTGTAGCAACAGCAAGTAACTAATCCTCAGAACTCCTCTGTGATGTCAACAGAAATCCTCTATCTGCAGCAGGAATCCTGGACACATGGAGCTTGTTTATATGAAGTTATAAATAGGCAGTGGTAAGATCTGGCTTTGGTTGTGTGTGTGACAGACTAGTCAGGCTGTCATGTATAAAGACTCATCTTAAACTAAACTTGCACATGTTTTGTCCTTGTATCTACRAATTTGCTGATATTTTTGTCTCTRTGGGTGAGATAAGGARTATTTCTTAGAGAATCTACAGCYGGCTGATCTCTCCCCTGGGGACACMGKACAGAATGTTTCCCCTAACTTAAGCGGATTAAGATGACAAAAGACTCAAATGATTTTAATCTAGCAGCCCACTTCTGGGAAAGAAACTTGCTTTCAGCATAAGAAAACAAAACCATGGGATTAACTATCCTGCCAGAAACTCTGTAAGGGAGCTGGGGTAGAGGACATAGTAAAATAAGCTTGTTTATAAGTTGATTATGCTTAGCATTTGATAGTTTATTTTGTATCCAGACTGCAATATCAATACAGCACATAAATATCCTAATATACATACATATTAGAATTTAATTGCTTTTGTAAGGGGTATTGTTAGACTACTGCAGGAAGGCTTTTGATCTGGCACAGTAAAATTTTGCTTTTGATTTCTGCATCACCTTGTTGCTGCCCCATGACCCTGCAGCCCTGCTGAGGTGAGAACATCAACCTGTGGGGGCTTAAGCCTGCACAAGGACTGTGAGGAATCAGCCTGCAACACACCACACAGTTTGTAAAAGTGTTATTTTGAGGGACCAAATCTCTAGCTGCTTGTTGAACGTTGTTGAATGCTGTTTTCTTCAGAGAGTGGGAGTTAGCCTGAGGAAGATGAGAAATTCAATTACTGTGTTCTGTCCTTCTAAAATACTCCCTGCAAAGAGTTTCCTCTCATTCAAAAAAATCCTGAAATATTCACTGTCTGAAATATTCACTGTAGATTATAAGACTTACTCTACTCAACCAAATCAAGAGGTGTAAATGCTAAAAATGAACTGACTTTTTGATGAATAAAAGCAAAAAATTCTTCAATGTCAAGTTAAAAAATTGCCCTTAGGAAGGAGGGTGAGGAGCCATTCCCACCCACCAGACTCAACCCAGATTATCAATAATTTCTAGTTAGGTAGCAACAGGAACAAAAGCAAGTCCTCCACATCATCAAATCATGTTTCCCATCTCCATCGGAGCCATGTCATACAGCCTTCAGAAATGTATCAAGCACTGCGTGAAGGAGAAGCAAGCTCCCTTTTATGTTGGACTACCCTAATTTGAAGGCTATCAGGTAACAAAGCTTTTCTGATGATTAGGAACCCTCTGACTAAAAGCTTGAATGTGTTTCTGAGTAGAGGAATCCAATATAGTCTGCAATTTAACATTCCCCTGTTGGCTGGTGTTGGCCCCTCTGCACCCTGAGCACCATTTGGGTCTTGTTTTGCACAAGCTAAGACATGTCTATTACCCTGCCTGTAAAACTTGGGGTCCCAGTTTTCCTGAAAATTGGGGCTGGTCCTTATCCCAGTCTGAGCCCTCCCTTGCGTGTGATTTCCTTAGCCATGAAGCAGAGACTGGTACCCAATCACAACACAAGGGAAGTTTTAGATCTTGTGTTAAAGAGGTGCTAAAGTTGCAGCTTATGGCACACTAAATCTGTCTGTAGCATCAAGTTGACAAAATGTGATCATTTTTGGAGTTGTGCCTTCCAGTAGCATTTATTACCTGCCCTGGGAGGTGCTCTACACTGCATTTTCCTCTGGAAAACCAAATGGCACTGGATTGAACAATCTCTCTGTTCACAAACACTCTGAGAGGAGCCTGCTGCACTATCTTTGATGCAGATATCTTCACAAAACTTCAAACTCCTGAGAAAATTAAGTAATTTTCTTTCCCTTTTCTGGCAGTGATCAGTGCTGGTCAGACATAGGGAAGAAAGTGGTTTTGGTGACTTTAGCCCTAATTTCCCCTAACAGCCTGTCTTCACGGCAACAGTCCCTCAGAGATGCTGCTCTCTGCTCCACTGGTAAAAAGGCCATTGGTAAATCCTTACCAAGGTTTGTGTGGCTGAGAGTACCTATGCTTCCACTGCTTCTTTTCAGCACAAACTGCACTTGATTACAAAACCTTTACCCTTTTTCCCTCATGACTAACAATATTTAGGTTTTAACTATTTTAAGGTTTTATTACTGTCAAGAACCTTCCCCAGAAAATGTTCTGATACATCCTCAAGCCTAGTATTTTGGGACTTCTTCCATCTTCTGGCTCAGCTCAATTGCCTATAGGCTGTTCAAATCAAGCAGAATCTAAAGGAGGCTTTGTTCTAGAGAGAGGAGTTTGAGCTGATGCCACCCAGTGCAGCAAGCCTCTGACCAGGCTGGCACAGCCCACAGCCGTGCCTGCCAGTTCCCATGACCCTGTCCCTTGCCCCTCAGGGACATTCTGAAAGCTCAGCTGTGGCAATGGGCTTGGCCTGCTCTGGAGCTTACTCTGCTTTAAAGTCATCACTGCACAGTTAGCAGCTTTGATTTGCTGTCTTAAAGGTAGATGTCATGTGCTTCATCTCCTAAATTCTTCCTCAAGATTCTCATAAAGGTCAAAAAAAGTGGTAGACAGGCATCTGTCTCAAAACCTCTGCAGAGAAAGGAGGAAACTGCAGATTTCGTTTCACAGATGACAAGAATAGATATTAAGACTTGTCTCAGCAGTTAGCTACAGACTTCAAAGCAAATTGTTTTTGTCAGCAGAAATGGATAGGTTTCATTTTGTTTGGTACAACCATAAATTGCTATAATGAAAAAAACTGATTAAACCCCCCCAATTGTCTAGACTCAGTCAACTTTAGACATTTTTTGTAAAGAATCAAAGACTATAAATAATGAAACAAAGAATAAAACTGAATAAAGTATTTGAACTGACTTTAAAAAATGTCTAGATGGAAATGCACTACTTATAAAAAAATCCACTTGAAACTATACAGAAGTTTTTAAACTATCCTCAGTTACAAATAGACCTTCATACTGCAGTAACCATGCAACAGTTGAGAAAAATGCAAATATGTGCCTTCTCCAGCTATGCATTTGCAAGCCTACTTACTTTTCTATTTCACGAGTAGTCAATATTTTTCACTACTGCTTTCTCAAGTCTTTCACAATGCCGCATGTAAAAAAATTATAGAATTCTCCCCATCATAGCCCACAAGTGCAAAACTTGTAAAAACTGGAAGCTATTAGACATGGTGTTTAGCAGTTAGTAACAATCTTAATGAAAAAAAAAAACAACCCCCAACAAGCTCTTTTAAGATGTTTTCAGAAGTTCTTCTTATAACAATTGAAGTGTACATAATTACTACTAAAATACTTCGTTGACTACCTGAAATTTTTTTAGCTCCTGAAAAATTAAAATAAACTTGATATTTGGTTTTCTTTCCTCTGATCCCTCATACTCTGGGGTTTTCATACAGATGACGGGGTTGTTCAATAATTGATTTTTGCCAAGTCATGATGTCTTTGAGGCCTTTCAGACAAGTGAGAGACAAACAAACAAGCAAACAGGCTAGTCTGACTCCAGGCTAGTCCTTTCCTCCAGAAACATGCTCTTAGGGTACAGTCTGGAAAGCCCATTCTTTATGGGTTTTATATTGACTTACATTTTTCTATGAAACCCTTTGATATTTGGGCTCTTTTTCTTTTTAAAACTATTCTCCTTATAGAATCTGTACAAATGAAAATGAGACATTTACATATATAAAATCAGCCCAGAATAGGCCCCTATATAGTGAAGCAGTTTTCTTTATGCCTTCTAGAGAATGCTGCACTTTAGAAACGCCAGTTGTTCTATGAAGTTTAAAATGTTAATGATTAAATGATAGCTATTAATAAAGTAACTTGGCAAGCTTTGCGCTGTTTCTGTTTATTATCTCTAACTGACACTAATAACTAAATTTCAAAGTGTTTATGCACTAACCATGCGTTGTGCTGTGTGTTCTTTGAGGAGTAACAGACTCAGTCAAAGACTGAACAACATTTCTTTGGAATCTTCGTAAAGATTATGCTACAAAAATGTTGGTAGATTAGGACTAGATATTCTGTGCAATCGTACTGCTGCTACTGGACAAACATCACAGTGACGTGAGTGGTTACTCAGGCTGCTGTACTAAAAAGAGTGGCTTTGGGAAAGTTGCTGCTTTGCTTATTGTTACAGATTAGCAAGATTCTTACTTGAACGTGTAATTGTTTGTTTAGGTAATTCTCTACTTGCCTCTTCCTGGACCTTTGGTTACTCAGTGATGGAATTTTACTGATTCACAGAAAATTTTAGAGTATAAATATCACGCCACCTTTAACCTCATTTACAATAGTGTTTTAGAGGTAGAAAGATACATTTATTTAGCCAGCTGACTGTGTACACTGACAGAAAACACTCTGGATTTCTTCTCAGGAAAAATGTGACTGTGCTGGTATACTTGGAAACCACTCTGGAATCCACATGGAAAAGCCCTGCTCACAGTTAGCAATACCATACTGGGCTAGGAAATCTTAAAACAAAGCTATGTAAAAGCACTCACACATTAACCTGTACAGACTACAGCATTTACAGTAAGTGCTTAAAGACAAGGATTCATTTTATTCAGAGTGCCTACTGTAGTAACTCATAACATCTCCATCATCAGGGACCATTAGTTGTTATATAAGATTCTGAAAAGAATAAGTGAGAAAAACCATGATATTGCCAGCTGGCTTGAAACCACCATCATAAAGCAGTCTGTATCTTTGTTGGAAAACTTCAGGAATCCACTCATCAAAAAACATTGAGGATCTCTCTGACCTAGTGTAATGGCATTCTTGTGCATAAAATTCTATTAAAAATAGAAAAAGTAACTCAACCTACCTAAGAAGAAACAAGCTTCTTGCAGATTTTCTCAAGTGCTCTCTCACTTTACACAAATGCATTTACCAAAACTTTCAACTAACTGAATCACTTATTTGACTGACTTTGGATTAGGTGATGTCTATGTAAGGGCTGAGCAGAAAGCTGTTACTGCAAGAGAATCCAAGGTTGGTTCTGATATTTCTACAGAATGTAAGACACTGGGGCCAGATATCAAGAAAGCTGTTTGCTGAAGGAGAATTTTGCTCTAGGTAGATACAAGCTAAAATTTGAAGGGGCTTCAATTAATTTGCAAAAAGGCCTCTGTACCATTGTAATGATCTAACAGCTCGCTGGAAGCAATTACATCTCTCAAATGCCTCACATGGGATTATCTAGTGTGACTAAGCGGGTGGAGACTGCTGTCAGAAGAACTACTGCAGAAGCCAAGTGGGGAACTCCAGTTTCACACATATCTGGGAAAAAAAGATAAAGCTGATTTTCATTCATTTTAGAAGAAAGCTTCTGGTTTTCATTCTGTTCTTGAAATCAAGATTATGAGCAAGCAAAGAGAAAAAAAAAATCTCTTTGGTAGCTCTCCATTTTTTCCCCTCTTTGTTCTACTCTGTGGCACATACCAGAGGACCATTAAGGGAAATACTGAGTTTTCTTCGTTCATTTGACATTTAAGCTAACCTGTGGGTAGTTCAAGCTTCACAATTGTTATGCAAAGCCAAGACTTGGCAAAGGAATAGTAAGCCTATGTCCTGACATATCTCCCCAAAGTTAATTGCACTGGGTGTCCTTGCATCCACAATGCATTTCAGTGACATGCCATGAAGTGGAGCAAGACCATTCACACTGGTGAGGTCTTTTCAAGTAGGTGATCATTTAACAGGACATTTAAGAGGCTAAATTTCATTTAAAGACACTTTGTATTTTCATCACTCCTTACCTGTAAAACCTGCTCACCAGAACTTCACTGGTGAATCCCATTCCTCCCCAAAACTGGAGACAGCTGTCAGTCACTTCGCGGGTCAGACGACCTGCCTTCAGCTTAGCCATGGAAGCAAATTTTGTCACATCATTGCCTTCTATATAGAGACCTAATAAAAAAAAAAGAAAGATAAAAAAGCAGTCACTCTGGAAATCATCCCCAATGTTCCTTTAGCCTGACAAGATTCTTTGCATGGACAGAAGCACATCTGGGAAGCAGATGTGGGGCTCACCCACGGCACGGTGCAGCAGCGAGCGCAGCAGCTCCACTTCAGTGGCCATCTCGGCCAGGCGGAAATGCACGRTTTGGTTGTGCAGGACAGGCTGGCCAAACACCTTCCGCTGGCGGGTGTAGTCAATAGTTTCTTGTATTACTGTTTCCAGTGGTTTCAGGGCTTGAAGAAACAAAGCACAGAACAAGACCATTTTAGCCAGTCCTGTTTTTTAGCTTCTTGTTGGAAAAGGTTTTTTTCATGTTGTACAACCAACACATTAGGTTTTCTAGAGCAAATCGTTCTGTACACTCAGTTTGGGGTGTAACTTCAATTCTGAAAAAAAAGTTTGGTACTTCCTTGTACCCTGAAGACATCTATCTCACCTGAGCCCCAAATTGCCAAAACTTGGAGGAGAGGAAAGGGTGGTGGATAGGAAGGAGTGAAAGTCATAGAAAGCAGTACAATGTGATGAGGTAAACTTCATGTTCTCTGTTTCATTTGGGGCCTTAGCAAAAGCTTGTGACCACTCCTACTTTCCACGCTGCCTGTGCCCTGAAGGTTTGTTACAATCCTGGAAAAAAAAATCTGAAGGCAGACAGTGTAGTGTGCTCAGTAAGGACTGCTGCAGAAATGTAAATTGAAGGAAGCCTTCAGGGAGAAGGCAGAAACCTGTTCTGAGATCAAGGAACACAAATAGACTGCTTATTAATCTGCATTCTGTGATCAGATCCCAGCATAGAGAGGAAAAGACTCCCATTCACTTTAAATAATTCTAATGGAAACAGAATGAAAATAGGATACTGCTGGAAAACAGGTGACAGAGATGGCAGACAATACTTTTAAGCAAAAGAACTGTTCTGCTGCTTTTCTTTGTGCAAACTGACACACATCACATTTTAAAAGAAAAAAAAAAAAGTTTMTTTTCCAGGGAAAATCACCCTTTAAGTGAATGACTATGCTATCAGTCTCTTGCAGCATAGCTGGGATGACAGCAGGTGCAGAATATGTGGAGAATTTTGTTTGGCGAACATGGACCCATGYTACCATGAAAAGCAGCAGGGAATGATTTCACAAATCTATCTGTATGAGAAGGGTCACATTTTCTCTTTTCAAAATATGCATACCCACATCCATTTACATTTAGAGTCTAAATCACAAAACTCTGAATCTGAAATGTAAAATAAAGTCAAGCCTTGGACTACTATAAAATCCCTTTTCCTACCTGCCAGTTACTCACATGGCAGCCCCTTTCAGAAGCTTGGTGTGGCTCCATGTTCCTTTTCACATTGCAGAATCACTCCTATTTAAATTTCATCTCAGTACTGCTCTCCTGTGTACACTCTGCATCCCACCAATTGCCTCCTGCCATGATCATTCACCACTGCTCCCACAGAGCACCATTTTTCACATGATGTCTCCACATTCTGTAAGGTTATCAGTTTTTCTCCATCCCTTAATAATTTACCCTCCTTTCTCATACAATTAATCTCAATGCTTATATTTCAGAAAAGCATCTTTTATATTTCAGAAGAGCATTCAGTAGAGCATCATGGCTCAGACTGGGGTTCTGGGAAAACCACTCTCGTAATGTCCACCTCTCCATTGCCTCCTTCCTGACCCTCCTGATCCATCCTCCTGTTTCCTTAGTTGCCATCACTGTCCTTATTTTAAGAACTGTCATTTGCACACAGAAACAAACAGAAGAAATCTAAAGACAGCCCTGCTTCAAAAGAGGCCACCAGGTCAAGGGACATGATTGTCTCTTCCCTGTTTTCCCGAGAGCCCACCTGGAGTACTGCATCCAGCTCTGGAGCCCACAGTACACAGCACACACTGATCTGCTGGAGCAGCTCCAGAGGTGGGTTCTAAAGAAGATTAAAGGACTGGAGCACCTCTCCCTTGAGGATAGGCTGAGAGAGTTGGGGTTGTTCAGCCTGGAGCAGTGCAGGCTCTGGGGAGACCTTATTACATTATTTTGATATATAAAGGGAGCTTATATGAAAGATGGGGACAGACTTTTTTTTATCAGAGTCTGTAGTCACAGGAGAAGGGGCATTAATTTTAAATTGAAATAAGGTAGATTTAGACTGAACATAAAGAAGAATGTTTTGGAATTGCAACTGGATGATCTATAGGGTCCCTTTCAGCCCAAAACACTCTGTCATTCCATGATTCTAAGAAATTCCTTATGATGAGAGTGGTGAGACACTGGAACACATTGCCCAGAGAAGCTGTGGATGCCCCATGGCACATCCATTCCCTCCACATATTCAAGGCCAAGATGGGTGGGGCTTTGAGCAACCTGGTTCAGTGAAAGGTGTCCCTGCCCATGGTGGAGGGGGTGGACAATGATGAATTTTAAAGGTTCCTTTCCAAACCATTCTGTGATGCTGACCACAGGTATTCAGAGCTCTGAGCACAGCTCTAACATGGCAAAGCTTGGCTTTGTGGCAAGCAGCAACAAAATGCAGCACATCATGAATACCAGCCAACAGCCATGTATAAGGTAATTGTAATAATTGCATGATAAGTACACAATACTTTGTCAGTCACACAAGTACCAAGAAATGCCATTCATTATAGGGAAAATAATTTTCTCTCAGAACTATTTTTTCTGTATATTTGAGTCCTTTTTTTTTTTTTAAAATACAACATTCCCCACATCCTCAGACAAACTTAGCCCTATGGGTTTCAACTCTCAGCACATGCAGGAAATGTAACTCTAGGGCAGCCTACGGAACGCGTGGTCTACCACACAGCTGAGAATTGTGAAAGCACTTGAAGCTGCCAAATGCAGAATAATMATTTCCTCGTATCTCCATCCAACTTACATTTTTCTACTTGAAACTTCTGCTTACAGTAAGGACACTTTGCCTGATCACTATATTTCCTCTGAAAAGAAAAGGAAATGAATATATTTTTCTTAGGTAGTGGCTGATCACTCTTTAATGAGAYGTACAGTGAGCTCTAAGCTGAGGAATCTGTCTCTTAAGGATGTGTGTTGCCCATGCTAAAGGATCTGTCATCTCACTTACTGGCCGTGACTCAATGGTGCTCATAAAACTGAGGTTGCAGGAGCAGATAGAAGTCATTAGAACAGTGCCATTCTGCTCTCTCATGCACACTGAACAACTCCCTCTGTGCCTCACAGTTAAGCAATTCACAAAACAACTGTTTGCTTTTTTTGCTATAGCAACATTCTTTTCCTGTGATCAGTGCAACAGGTCCTCAAATGGACAGTGTTTACCCAATGTCATAACATGGCAGACCCGTGTGGCACCTCTTTTCTTACAATGAAGCAAGAAAYACTGTGATTTTGACTAATTTGATGTGTCACTCAGAAGGACAGACCACACCTGAGAYCAAATTTTGCAATTCCAGGAAGTTAGTTTTCCATTTGCATTTTAAATCTGTTCAGAAGCTGAAAATAGGTTTCAAAATAAAAATAAAAAAAAATAAAATAAAAAAAAAAGGTGAAGAAATAAACTGTCCAGATAGAAGATAATTAATAAAGAAAAAGTCTAGAGCATGTGATACTTGAAACTAAAAATATGTAAACCCCCAACCAAATAAGAAGAAACACAACAAAAAACKCCAGACACAACAAAGCAACACCCGAAAAGGAAAGACAGACAAAAWTAGTAGTCACTATCTGCCTTTTCCAAGTTAGAGCAGCAAAGGTGAGGATGCCAGGACTGGTYCTGAAAGTATTTAAAAGCAGACTGATGATTTTCAGTGTCACATGAATACTCATGAACTGAGAAGGAACAGAAATGTCCTGCTGAGGGACAGAAGTGAGGACCAGGAGTAAATATGCAGACCTAATCACAAAACTACCAAAGGTACTTACATTATTTAGCACCTCTGAGCCTTCAGCAAAGCGCTCGTGGTTGAACATTTGTGAAACCATTTGCAGGACTGGAAGGTAACACCTCTAGATGCTGCGGTGCAACAAACTGCACCCATCCAGTACTGGGCTCCCTTCTGAACTGTGGTTACTCTTTTTCTTGTTTACCACAACTCGTGACCTCTGAAGTTTGCAACTTGGCCCAAACCATGGGTCTTGTCCCTGCTGACAGTGCTTTCATAAATTTTATATCAGATAGTGGGAAAAAAGCAAACCCAAGGGGTGCAGCAAGGTTAACACAGTGGCCACTGCAGGAGGCAGCTGCCTCTCCTTGGTGAGCTCYGAGACTCTTGCTCCCTGCTGGCTCCTGCCTGGTCATAGCAGGGGAGCAGAGATGCCCTTCCCAGGCCGCTCACCCAGGGCAAGGGTTCACCTGCTCCTGCTGCGTTGTTTTGGAAAAAAAAAAAAAGGATTGAAACCTGGTGTTCCAGTTCCTGGCAGAGCACAGCGACAGCCAGTGAGTTGTGCAAGAGTGGACAGTACCAAGCTGCTGTGGTTTTAGCAGGAGTGATCTAACCTGCCAGGCTTTGTGTATTGATGCTGTGAGTGCRCGTCACTCCTGCCTGGGGCATGACTAACGCTGCTGGCTACTCTGCTGCCTGGGGAGTCTCACTGCAACCCAGAGCCTCTGATGGTTTCTTTGATTTAGACTTCAAACTGAGCATAAAAATGCACAGYGCACATCCTCGCAGTCTGTGTGCACCTCAATTAAAGCAGAAGCAGTGGTAGGATCACATCTCCTGCTTGCCYGAGTTTGCAGTGACATCCCTTGCAAGTGTAATCTCCTGCCCTTTGCTAAAACTATTCTCGCATTTACTGTTTATCTCAGGCTGAACTAAGAACTTTGTCTCAAAAAAAAGGATTATTTTAAAAGGCATTTGAACTCTAAAATATTTGGTCTGGGATAAACCCAAAACAGTGAGTGYTTTTTTATTTGTTCACTGAATCAAAACACCACTGATGAGAATTCTCAATTCTCCGGCCACACAGASAGTAACAGACAGGGAATGCACAAGAGCATGAATACACTGACATTGTTTAGGCAACCCCGGAATTTAGGGAGGACCTGTCTTCTTACAGTGAACCACATCATATTTAACTTGAAGAAGTAAACATTGGGAGGTAGGGAGAAAGTTTGCAGGTTAAAAATAGACAATCCACATTTGGATCTGGTTTCCTAGAATATCCCGAATCCATGTAACTCAAATATATGGATTTGAATACAGCCTGAGTTCTGAGTAATAGAAACCCTGTGACAACATAACTTCAGGGAACGGAATGTAGTTCTGTACCACTTATGTCCGGAGTGTGCAGAGGTTAAACAGATCCACAAAACAAAGCTCTGACATCCGCTAAGAGTCACTTCTTTACGTAGCCAATAAGTTAATTTTCTAAAATCCATGACAAACATCATAACATACTGTACTACAGGAAAAGTCAYGATCCTTCTACTTCATGCCAGTATTTTGATAGCCTTTGCACTATATTTGTAGTTGACATAACATGATGCCATATTTTCTTATCAGCAGAGAAGCACCAAGAAAAAGAAACAAGGCAAAAACAGCCTCTGTGATGGCTGCGTTTCTAAAAATATTTTCTACTTTGGGTTTTTCTACACAATGTTGTCTGTAACTAGGCTATGATGGATTTCAAAAACAGATCCTAAAAGGTCATTGCAACTTACAAGAAAAGAAAAGTACTGTTAGTCATGCGAAGAGTGACCCTSGTGTCCCTGCCCGGCTGCAGAAGCGCAAGTGATGACTTACCAGAGGCTACTGCCCACAGCCGCTCTTCTTGGAATTGCAACATCTGGTATGTAAAACCCTTTCCTTCCTCGCYGATGAGGTTTGTGCAGGGGACCCTTACGTTTTCAAAAAAGATCTGAGCTGTGTCCGATGACCTCATACCCAGTTTGTCTATCTTTTTRGCAACATGAATGCCTGAAGAAAAATGGGTATTAGAAGGACCGCAGAAAATAGAAGCATCATGAACAAGTACAATGTTTTCAGAAAGAAAAGTCTGCAGATGTGAATGTATGTTCCAAGACAACAGCGAAACCTACATTTAGGAAAAACATAACAGTATTCTGGCCCAAATCCTATTTTAAAAGGTTTCTTTCCACTTTATTTAACCATCAAATCAGAAACTTTAAATGTAAAAGWACCACTTTTCATTATGTCCCCAAATAAGAAATATTTACTAGTCATAATAATCTTAGCCCACACAGGTTTTCAACCAATGTAATATTTATTTGTTTATGCTTGATTTTTATCTAGCATTGCAATAAAATGCTGGAATTCAGTTTGGCAGTATTTGATAGTGCCTGCACTGCTATGAAACAGTAGACAAATATTCAAGAAGGACAAAAACAGAGCTATATTTTAAGCTGCAACTAAGAGAATTTCTCCTCCTGGAAATCTTCTTCCTTCCCTTTCTTCTTCATTTATCCTCCCCTTTCTAGCCTACCCTGATGYTTTCTGGTACAATGATAACTCCTTTTCATGTGTGTACATTTGTGAGGAGGGCTTGCTTCCCTACAGACCGCTCCACACCACACTCTGCCCCAACGTGCCATGGTCTGTCAAAATGAACCTGGCTCATTCAGGGCTGGCCCCAGAAGGGTCCAGCTTCCTCATCCTGGGAAGGACTCCTTCCCATTGTTTGGTTGTTTTTTGTTTTTTGTTTTTTTTTTTTTTTGTAGGTACAAGTTCTTTCTTGCTGCTGTTGAGATGCAAGCTTGGCTGGCCACTGTGCCATAAGAGTTTAAAAGGCACCCACTGTTTTCTCATGGCAATYCTCCTGCCTTCAGTTTTTATCTCCCTGTTGCTCTGGAGTTAATTCAAATATTCAGGATGAAAGTCAAGAATGTTTCAAAGGCAAAAGGAGGACAACAACCAGGCATAAAGATGTGTACATAACATGTTAATTACATCTGACAAGTCTGTAGATGTAGCAAAACAATCCTCAAATTAGCATACASAAATTTGCCAGAAAACCAAACCTTTTTACAGGTATGTACATGGTATTCCAACCATTCTTCTGATGAGGAGGTATTCTGTCAATATTTTCCTCTTTATTGTATTTTTTTTTTTCAATCTATTACTCTCTTACACGGCTCAGTAGAAGCTGGTTGATCACCACACAGATTGTTGTGGTCCCTCTCTACTTGTTTGTGCTTTTCTATTCTTCATGGTTTTCAGAGATCATCTCTTTCTGAACTAATACAGACATCACAACTTTTACTAACAGGAGGCTTTCAGCCATGTGAATATTACTTTGGTTTTGGAGGCAGAAGAAGCTGGCATTCATTTCCTTCAAATTCACTCTCTCTGGCTGCACTAAATAAGGTTATGGAAATTTTCACCTCTTTACAGAGTTGAAATACTGACAGTATTTACAAATGCCAAGACTGCTCTGAGAATAAAGTCCACATAGACTTCCACAAGTTTTACTCAAGATTTCTTCTCCATCAACCAATCTGTAAACAGATTATGTGTTAGGAAGACTGGCTTTGATATGTGAATAATGCAGGAATAAAATCAAGACAGCTGTATAAAAATTCTTGACTCTTGAATTGAAAATTATCCAGTAATTTGTACCCAGTCGGCCAAAAAAGCATTCGTGGTTTGTTTCCATATTAAAAACAGAGCTAAACAACCATACACTGAGGAACTTACAAGAMCAAATGAATTCTGGAACATAGTTTCCCATTGGAATATTGCTATTTGGTTTGAGAGTCTCAGAGATCATGTATGGTCTGAAGCCAACTGGCCTTATGCAACCACTGCTCCTCACCAATATGAAGATGCACTTACTGCTCTCGTTAGTGGGTGGTTTAAAAGGACTCTCCTCGAGAAAGCACAACAGCTGCCAGTTCATTATATTGCYAAATCAATCCTGTTGTTTACTTCCCAGATCCACATACAGACACAACTATTGAAAAAAGCTCTTACAGGCTTTGTTAGAGGAGATAAATGTCCCAGTGATTTCTGTCTGTAATTCTTCCAGACTGGGTTGTGTGTTCAGTTTTCCTGAGTCCAGCAGCATCCCCTTTGTCATGCCATACCAGTTTCACTTGCTCTTCATTCATGTTTCTCACCCACAAGGAGACCAGGCTGCATCAGTCTCATATAATKCCTTTCCTGTGGCTGGCACATACTTGACATTGTGGAAGACAGTGATACATAATCATCCCTTTGGCCACCATCRGGCCATCAAAATCTCCCCTTCCTCCATTTAATTATCTTCCTTCTTCCTAAGGGGTACTACAAATGAAAAATTACCAACAATTACATCACCCAGAAATCATGGGCCCAGATTAWCTCCTGGAGTTTGTCTGTATTAAATAAATCACATGCAATAATGCACAAATCCCGTTTTAACGAGGCCAAGCACCTGACTTACTAAAATCACTAACAGAGCCATTTGAGCTACTTGCACCACTATCTCTGAGATGAATTGGTAACTCACTGCCTGGGCAGCTCTTCCCAAGTGTCTTTGATTTTTCATTTTCTTCCATTCCTCCAGTCTTCTGACAATCTCTTATTTCTTATATTCTATCTTGAGAGAAAGGCATTTGCTGTCTCCTGACACCATTTGTTGCCATTACCAATGGAAACAGACACATTTTAAATTGCAATCTGAGAAACAYGCTCTTTCCCTTTTCCTGGTTGCTCTTTTTATTAACTCCTGCTTGCACTCTCCCCTAGTGCTTTCTAAGGACTCAGAGGACAAACCAGAGGACAAATAGTTACCAGAGCAGGGTTGCATGACATTTGTCTATATACCTTACACAAAGAYATTTAGCAACTTGTTAGATCCTCTTTCATCATATGGAAAACTCAGTTCCTTTTTTAAGACATTGTTATTGTATGAGGAGTATTCACCTAGTTTGGATATCTACTGTGGATCCACTGTGCTGTTTTGCAAATTCCCTTTACAAGAAATGTATTCAAGASTGTCTGTCAAATCTAGACTATGATATGCCTCACTCCATATTAGAGAGAATACATACCTAATATTYGAAAAAGCTAATCCTACTTTGTATCAATGAACTACCAATTGCTGGAGTTAATAATTTGCTTTAAGACTTGGAATATTTTTCTCTTGGTGGGTTTTTTTTTTTTTTTCTCACCACTTTATACAAGTACAAAACAACTAAGATTTTTAGATAAAATGCTCCACGGATTCTTCCTCACCCAGCCCTATAGACTGGTGACTGCAGAGGTGAGTCAGACACAGCACATTTGCTCTCAATTGAGCTTTGACACACATACATCCACGGATGTTTGAGAGTGCATCATTCGGTGATGTCCTCCAGACACTTCCCGTACAGGCTTGGTCTKCTGCCCTCCATGGAGCACAATCTTTAGCAGACAGACATCCTTAGGATGTATCAAACCAGATGGAGCTTCCTGAAAAATCTCTCTTCTGATATGACTCACCCACTGAGCACAATCAACAGTCTTAATCCTTCATTTCAAAAGGTCACCAATCCTGGTACTGTGACCCCTTTGGAGGTAAATAYGTGTATCATCACAGAAAAATTAAAATACGTGCACTTCGAGGAGCGCAGATTTTGTTCTTAGGAAGACTTCTACACTTCTGTAGATCAGTTTAGGGCTTCAGGCAATTTTTCCACTCTTAATGCTGTTAAAGAAGGTCTGTGAGTAGGCTGTGTGATCTAACATCTCCCCTCTCCTAAAGCTACGACAACTCCTGTCTTTTTGGAGTAAGCAAAGTAGCCCAAAACCTCTAACTTAATTTCTGTATATTAATCTGCCACCAACCACCGGTCAGATGTTTTGTTGTTTTAGAAAGATTGATCTGRGAGAAGTAGTATGGCATTTGCTTCCCGACCCTTTCAGGAAAAATCACGAGAAGGACTTCATTCATTTWTCAGCAGATGGCTGATAAGTGAATTTACCTGGAAATTCAGAGWTACATGTTCACTCATCACTTCTCAATAAGGACAAAGTCCTCAAGCACTRAAACAGCTCATGTCTGTCTCCTGTGAGATGTCTGTCTCCATTCAATGCTTGTCTTGCTTGAGCAGAGGGTGAAGAACCTCACAACCCACTCAGAACCTGCTTAATTCCCAAGGCAACTCACTTKCTTGACTTAATCATACTGAAATTCATTTAAAAGACATTCCCTTAAGAAGATCTTATTGTCCTCTCCAACATTGGAGACCTGGGTTTTGCTCTCAGTCTAATCCATTAAGTGAACATAGACATTCACTCCACTGCTGTGGTGAGGTTCCTACGTGTGAAATGACAATAATGGCAAATATTTCATGTTAAAAATACTCTGAACTGAATGACCAAAAGCACCCTAAATATAAACATTTTACATATAAATGCCTTAATATACATTATTCTAGATATAATAAATACTAAATTGTATTAAAGTGCTTCATTGTATTAAATAAACATTATTTTTTAAAATTACATATTAAAATATTTTATATAGTGCATAATCTATTACACTGCATATTTTAAAACATTAAAATGAGTGAAAACTGGAAAGGTTCAAAAGCTTTAGAACAGGTKTCAAAACTGCAAAAGATCCTCACCAGCACAATCTTAACCGCATCCTCTCTGAATGATGTTCTTGATGCATATAGCACATTATTTCTGCAAGGTCTGCAGATTACTCAGGAGCAGACACCATGTGGACTGTACCACTGAAACCTGCACRCTTAGATCAGGATGTATTTCTTCATGTCTTCACTGGAATTGCTAGTCTTATTTATACTCTCTTTATCCTTTTATTTCCATATTCGTTATGAATCATTGCCATGAAAATGTATCTGAAAAATTTCTCTAAATATATTTTTGGTTAAACACCTCTCCTTCTTGTATTAGGCACACAGAAAACACCAATAAAATCCCATCAGAAGACAAAGAGTTCTGTGTTATTACCAGGTAGATTCATCGGYAGACATATGAGAGATTTATTTCGATGGGGGGGTCCTTCGCTGGTGTTTGCCAGGAGACACATCCAGTCTGCCTGGCTGCCRGACGTGATCCACATCTTACCACCGTTTATGACATATTCATCGCCCTTTCTCACAGCTGTTGTCTTGATATCTGTATCAAAACACAGGAAATTAGGGGTTATTCTTGTGAAAGAGGAGCATGTCGGTCAGTGTATGACGGGCAGGGTCACTCCTTTGCTCTCAGACAGAAAACCTAACATTTGGCTCTCCCCCATACCCCCATGTCCTACAGTCCTTCCAGGTACGAGGCACCAACCTCAGCATCTCTTGGAAGGAAAGCCAGGGAAACAGGACCACTTCTCTCACTTTCTTTTAGATGGAGTCTTCATCCCAGTGGATGAAAGCAGAAAACTTCCTAAGTAGATGTGGTGGGCAAAAACTTGGGACAGAAGCGTTTCTCTCTGAGGTGATCTACTAGAGTAGATCTACTACATTTCTCACTAGAGGTGATCTACTACTACATTAGTGCTGAGGAGCCCATTAATTCCAGAATCATGATTTAAACAAACRTAAGCCTCAGTATCTGTGAATGCATAAAGATAAACCCACACACACTTCCTGCATGTTCTTGGTCACAGTGGTGCAATATGTTCAAAGCTGGTAAAGTATCAAAGGCCAAGTCTGAATGAAGTAAATGTCTGTACACGAAAGATTTCTAAACACCTGCTATTTATACAACCTGCCTAAAAAATCCTATTTTCATGTGCAAGCAGCCTGAACTGAAACAGACAGCCAGAGTGAATCAGTAGTTATTCCTTACACTCTGGCAGAGTTTCCAAAGGGCTGGGTCCACTTCCTTGCAATTCAACTTCTTCAACAAGAACCCCAGTTGAGGAAGACTCTCCAACAAATATCCAGCTAAAAGCAGGTGATGTTATAAGAGAACCCTAGCCCACTCCTAACAGCACCTGTAAATCTAGCAAGACTATGAAGTCTGTAGGAGTTCAGCCACTGAGGGGGACTGTGGACTGGGAGGGGAAGGTGAAGTGGTGTACTTCAGGCACACTGAAGTCATCTGGCTGCGCTTTCATACACAACCACCTCAATCTGCCCACTAACATTCTTCCCTGAGGCTCTAAACATAAACCAAAACCAAACCCGAGTATCTGATCTTCACTTAGGAAATAAAATGGGGCTGAGGTCAGCATGGCTGACAAGTAGTCTTGTTAATTAAAGAACAGGAGGAAAAATTGTGGGAGAAAATTGTATAAGGTATAAAACAAGGGAAYATGGGATAAGCTATGACTAAAGGAATGTATTAGCTGATTATGATGAACAGCAAGGGATGGAGATAGTGGATAAAACCGGCAGACACAGAGGAATTCACCCCATGAAAGGACTGTGACAAATCTGTCCAAGGGACTCGATGTGAGATCTGTATAATAATGAAGGCMAATAAATTGAAGGAATATAAAGTACCAGCACTCGTAACATGTGGACACAGACACTGGACATTAATATAGATGGAGACTAAAGAATAAGTGAAGGACACACAAGAACAAGAAATATGGAGTATGACTGCACTGAAACAGTGTGACAAGGATGGGAGCACACACAGTGATTTACATCACACAGCCCTTTGTTGTGGAACAGCCACTGAAGCGATGAGATAGAAGTCCCATAGAAGGTCTGCAGAGGGGCCCTGAGCACTGTGATGTTACCACAAATGTAAATAGCTCTTGCAAGCCTGGCGTCACAGGGTCCTAACCATCCAAACACAGATCAAAGAACAAATGTCTTACTCATGAGAATGTTCAAGTACTCCCAGATACATGTGTCCACAGTTTGCTTCAAACACTTGAGAAACAACTATTTAGAATGATCTTATGAAGAACTGATTCTCTTGAATAAGAAGAAAGATGACCAAAACAATACGAAAGATGACCAAAACAATTTATCTTTAGAATACAGCAGGCTTTGAAAAGCTACTTAACAATATGCTATGCTCAAGTGGACTCAGGAACAAGGCTATGAAGATAATTTGGAATATTTGACTAATTAATTTCCCTGATAGAGCATATATCTAGAAAAAGGCTGCTTCAGTGGGTGTTCTGTAACTCGTTTTTGCATGCTCACACCACTGACCCTGTAGTTTTTTTGACTCAACAGCTTACACAGCATGGTTTGGAGTTCCCTTGTAGGCCAGGAACAAGGCACCACCAGAGACATATGATACAGCTGGTGCCATATAAACAGCCAGAGCTGGTCACTTCAACATTCAAATCACACACATTCGAGCCTCAGTTTTCTTCTCCACTGCACTCTTGAGTCCAGCCATACATGTAAATAGATTTTACTAAAGGCAAGGTTGACCTCAGCTTTTAAGGTCAATATTACAGTCGTAAGTAAAATACAAAGAACACATATCTGAAATTTACATCATCAGCACAGGACAAAGAAATCCCAAAACTTTGAAGAAATACCTTCAAATCTAAGYAAATGAATAATCACTTCAAGGAACAGGAGATGACTTGCAGAAAAGGAACAAGATTTGTCATGAAAGTAAGCTACAGTTTTGGAGGTCAGAAGATAAGCACTGCTGCAGGTTGAACTAAGTTAAATGTTGCAGATGGAAACCAAAAAAACTGAAGAAGATTGAGGTGGCAAACARAACTGTTTTGACACAAAAATGAAAAGAGGATGGGAAAGACATACAGAAGATACCTCAAAAAAAAAAAAGAAATATTTCAGAGAGGATTACAGAGGGATTCACAATATAGTTGACAAAGCAAAACATCTACAAGGAGGAAGGTACAGAAATTRAAATTAGTGAAAACAGAGGTTTCTGGATTTGGCAATCTGCACAGCCTCCAAATATTTGGAAAGAAAAGAGAATTCAGTTTACTCATGGTAACTTATTTAAACTCAACTTGGTTTGTTTATTAAGAAACTGGATTTTCTAGAGGAAATCAGAACAGGAAAAATCCTACTGGACCCAAGCAAGTAAAACTGACACTATTAGGTAACTATGAGATAAAATTTAGAAAGAAAAGAATTTGGACATTAGTGAAAATGTGCTTAAGGAACTWGGCAAAGGGGAAATTACATCAGGTTGCATTAAAAGAGGAAGTTCTGATCGGCAGGGAGGGTAGTAGTTAAGCCCCTCCTTGGATATCAACTTCTGGACAAAACCTACTGAGTATTTCTATTAAAGACCTTTAAAAGGAGAGGAATACACTAATTAAATTTGTTTGTGACACAAAGTTGGGAGACATCACCAACACAGACAACTGAAGTATGGCCCAGCAAGAAAGGAATGATCCTGAGTTTTCAAACTCAGCATGGCGAGTGCAAGTACTCAGACACAAAGTACCAAGAGTGATTGCTAAATCCTGCAATGTTTCAATAGCAAATTGGTAATGAAGATGATCCACAGTTAATCACAGGATTCACAAGTTTGCAAGCTGTTGTGTAACATCATGTATTGGAGAGTAATAATTCTRTTAGGGTTGGAAAAGTATTTGTGCCTTTATAGAAATCTTGTGAAATTCTGAGGTTTTATGCTCACAAAAGATAACCTCAATCCAGAAGAGCAAAAAGGCTGGATTCCACTGAGACAAAACAGGGCAAGATATCTGTGTTGAAGAGGTGGGCATGAACAATKTTACTAGGTGCAGCTGCCTGGACATAATTTGAAGAAAGAGGAAGTGTCTTCCACRGTGTTCTTACATATCCCACAGAATATCAGCAAAACATCTATAAATTGTGGAATTGAAATGAAAATGAGACAATATCTCTAAAACTGACACAAATGCTTATGCTTTGTGGTACCAGACTCCTGAAACTGAAGACACCTTTCTGTATCAACTRTGCTGCTCTGTTTTTCTTCTCAAGCCATTCTGTGCTAGTTTTGGGGCACATGGTCAATACTATGGAYAATATAGAGCAACTACACTTGAAARCAGACTGGTGCTCCTTCAAATTGACATGAATTTTATATTAAACTAATACACACAGTTCTTTTTGTTCTGTTGAATTCTGAATAAATTTGTTTTAGGCACATTTCAGTTCTCATGTAAACAATTTTTTATCTTCTGTGTTCATATCACTGTCAGTAAATCTGGAACTGGAAGGAAAAACTGCTAGAGAAAAAATGCTAGTCTGTGTCATTCTTCAGTTTAAAATACACGAGCTGACATGGCAGAATCATGCTCTCAACCTTCACATGTGAACAGTTGCTATGTCCCTTCACTTCCCTGAGGGAGGYAAACATCCCAACAGTAGAGAAACAAAAGGAAGCTCCAAGTGCAGCTTCAMACAGCTCAGTCCACTTTACAGCTGGGCCACCTGGAGATGGTGCAAAATGCTGCAACCCAGAACACAAACTATCATTGCTCACACCTAAGTTGTTCATTTAAATACCCTTCAGAAACACTGTAAGCTGGTTTTGGCATTTATATCAGGGATCAAATCTTCCCTGACGGGTGAAAAATTATTGTCATTTCACCCTGCAATGTGTCTCCAAGCTGTAGCATAGGTTCACTAGATTCACTCTTTGATTCCAAATTTTATTGCTGAATTAATCTAAGTATATCATACCACTTTAACTAGGTGATAAACAACATGCTGCTGAAGGAATATTTATGTTACTTATTATCTGGAAGACTGCATAAAAAAATTAATTCATATTTAGAAATTTGTAATAATCATCTAATTAAACTAGAGAGGCATTAATTAAAAGAAATTATGTTGTATTTCCTACATTAGCAAAATTCAAATTTCTAATTACTTTAATAAGTAAATTATTAAGCATTATTATAAGTTTTATTATTTAAATCTAAACAATATTTAAATTATATTAAGCAATAATTTTATTTAAATAATATTGAAATTGAATGTTTATATATTTATTATTTTTAATAATCAATATTATTAATAGTGTTTAATAAACAAGTCTAATAAAATTATGGCATTTTTCTTACGAACAAATTCAATTAGACTGGAAAGGAAAACAACAATGGATCATGAAGGAAGATTTAGTCCCAGGCTTTCATTATCCACATTAATGTTCTTGAAATCTACCTGCTTCACCCTTGCTAGAGCAATGGATGTTTACCTTGAAAAAAACAACAGCAGTTTTGTCCTGGAGACGGACATAGCACTCCTCAAATAAAGAAATGTCTGTCACACTCGGCAAGTTTGTCTGCAGGAAGATATCTCAGTAATTTTAAGAGGACAATRTGTTCAACTTAGCCATGCTCTGTCCAACAACTAAATCTCTAAAAGTGGCCACTTAACATTCACTTTCTTGTGAAGTCTACAATTCATTGTCAGAGGAGACATCTTTTTCTACAGTATCTGTTTTGATTTAATTGTTCAATTTTTTTACTGCCTCAGGCACTTCAGAATAATAGTTTCATTTGTCCAGGTTTTTAAACATATTCGTGCACTAAACCAAGAAAAACAGTTGCATGTAAAGTAACTAAATCACAAAGATAACAGATTTGACATACTAAATTCTTCATTAGCTCTAAATAAAGCAATCATCACCAGTTGAGAGATTTTTTTTTTGCTTCTCAGGAATGACACAAGGGGCTGAGGTGTGGTAAGGATGAGCAAGAGGAAATCATTGTGAAAGTGATGCCATCATTTTCAGGACAGAGTGGATCTGTATTTTGCCCTCCTTCAGTGAGAGGTCTGTGTGAGGGCAGTGTCAGCTCCAGTACAGCTGAACAGGTTTTGTTCCCTGTCCAGCACACCTGGAGTCACACGACTGATGGTGGCTGTGCAAATAATGAGGGGCTGGAGTGCTCCTGCCACTGGTGAGCCTGGACAGAACAGGGAGGCAGCAGCAGGACAACTCTGGAAGAAAACTGGGGCCAGMATAAAAGCTGCACTTATCTGTTGTGCTCAGCCTATCCATTGATTCACCTATGTTATATTTCACAAATATGTGAAAGTTGATTGCTTTTGGATGCACGTGTTACGTTCCTGGAAYGTTACTTTTTGCCCTCACCACGCCAGGCTTTCCTTCCTTTTGTTTCTTACAAAGGATGGGGGCAAAGTGAAGGGTCAGGAAAAACAGWTTCTTTCTATTAAAACATCAGGCTGCCTAAAACTGGCAGTTTGCTGGGTTAACTTACTTGCGACATCTGACCCAGCTCCAGCTTCACTGATTCCCAAGCAAGCCACAACATCACCAGCTATAGTGGGTACGAGGAACTGTTTTTTCAACTCATGAGAACCAAACCTGCAACAATATAATGAAAGAGATGGGATATTAAAAGCTCATGAAGGTAAATTTTATTTAGAAGTTAGTTACAAACTTTATTCTACCCACACAGTCATCAATTTTCCTATGACCAGGTAAAAGCTGTCTCAGAGCCAAAAAATAGAATAGATATCCTCCAAAGCTGTGATTCAGTTTTCACCAGAAGTGCAGTCACAAAAAAGTATTCAGGCACCTTACTCTCCCAGAAATGTATGGTCTAGATGCCCAAAATCTGTCTTTATGACTGCTGCTTTAAAAGTTCCAGACCTAAGTAAACATAACCCCTGAGGATTTCCCTTAGTGCCCCTGGACCAGTCTGCAGCTAGCCAGGATGGAGRACCTGCTCTCTGTTTATTTTCTGAYTTTTGYASCTGCTCTTTTCCAGGTTTTATTGGTGAAGAGTTACAACACGTGATGGCCGCTGTCTGCAAATATCTGCATTTAAATTATTTATATTTCACATCTGAATTTAAATCACACATTGAATTTAAATCAATTAATGCTTCTTCTCAGTTCTTYTAGTCTCCACAAAAATAAATAGGGAAACAGCAAACTGTTGATGGTGTTTTAACACAAATTTTCCCTATTTCAGTTCAGTTAAGAGACACACACTACTTTCCTATTGCTTAGCATCTTGCATCTATTCAAAACATGGTCCATCTTACTTCATGCTTGACTTTGTCCTAATTARCATTCACTGATTTCTTCTTGCAGTGTGAATGGTGAATTCATGRTTTAGTTCTTCAGCCTCTCTTGTGTGATTGAAAAATTCCTTGGGTCATGAAACGTCTTCTGTGTCCAGGAATCCATAAAAGGCAGGTTCTTCCTCAGCCCCTTCTTTGGGGTTTCTCAGGTCAGCATCACCCCTCACCTCCTCAGGCTTGCTGGGGTCTCCTTTGAAAACATGATCCCAGTACTTCCAAWGGAGTGGTGACACTAAGCTAAGATTAAAATTAGTGCTGTCACTAAGCTAAGAGTTGGACTAAACTTGTCCAAGCAACCCTGACACAAAGGACATGGGACAGCCAGAGRGCAGACTGGGATCTGGCAGACACTTCCACTTGGAGCACACCAAGAGCTCCAGTCCTAGCCCCATCCTTGCTGAAAATCACAAATCAATCCCAAATAAATACAAGATGCAAGTTTGGAGTGCTTACTCCTTCCTCCAGCATACTGGAACAAAGTTCCCATGTCTGTTAGGGAATTGCACATTTCTTTTAATTTTCCAAGGGGAGTGATTAAGTATGGCTAGCTGTACATTCATTAGTTTAAAAAACAAAAAAAAAACAAAACCCAAACAACCCAACCAACAACATGGAAAATCAGATTACGAGAGCAGATAGTGGTGATTTTTGGCAACACTTTTTGATGTGTGAAACTTTGCCAACCCTTAGCATTTCAACAGAGGATTTTCACAGCAAGAACTTTTCTTAGAATAATATTTTTGGTTTGATGTCTTTCTTTGTTTTATGTTCCAGAAGCCAGTTCAGTTCTTTCCAAAAATGAGGTTATAGGAGAAATTATTTTGCAATCAAAAAAAAAGTCAGACAAGACTGTCAGAAGATGATAGGTCTCTGTGCCTTGCAGRAGCCAGCTAGCTTCTTGCTCAGCTGCTAGCTTTTGTGTTAGAAATATGTCATTTCTGTAAAATTCCACCCAGCTTAAATACATCCCAGAAAAATCTCACAAATGCAATACCCACTTTTTCCCAGTTTAACAGCTCCAGAACTAGAAAACTCTGTTTGCAAGGAGGAGTCATGCTCTAATTCAAGGCAGACCYGACCCTTCTGCTTTCTGGTTGGGGCCATACCCCAGAGCAGTTTCCCATGAGATCAACTGTGCAGCCTTAGCATCACTCTAAAATGTATTTCAATGCATTTGGGTATCCATGAACACACAAGTCAATGAATCTCGTTGATCCTGTGTAACAGGAGATGCCCAGTGTGAGATTCTGACACACTGAGTTTCATGAAAGCGGACCATCCTTTCTTGCTTCATACTTTATAACTAACATTGGTGGAATGTCATAAAACAAGGACAAAAATTCCAGTGGTATACAACATTATAATCAAAGTCTAAAAGGAAAGTAAAACCATGGCAAATACAGATATGACACTTCTGTGATCCTCACAATYCTGTTTATATGTCCTGATTGCCAGCAGCAGCTTCTCTCCTTTACAGCAAACAATAAATAAAATAAAACAGATAGTAAAACTAACTTTTTTGATATTAATTCCCAGGTATTCTGTTGATGAGGGCGGAGAAAGAATCAGTAATGAGTGAGTGGATGAAATAGAAAAGAATTTGCTTTCCACTAAATAATCATCTGTGTCCTTACTATTTTCCAATAAACAACAGGAAAATAAAAAGTAAAGGAAASTTTCCTGCCTGCTGCTGAGAGAAGCAGCTCTACACTGATGTGGTATCACTACGGATGTGACACCCTACAGGTTTGTTTATAAGCTCAGGCAAATTCCAGAGCTCCTGCCTCAGCTAGGAGCTGTTTTATCGACTCTATTTGTAAACAAGGAAGGGAATTATTACAKCTGAATTCATTTGAAAGACCTGGCAGGAAGTTATGTTCAAACCATCAAAGATCAGATCACTGCTTACAAAGTATTTCTCATTTAGTTCWTAAGTTTAGAAAATYGTACTGCTTCACTTAGGGGATTCTRGGAATTRCAGGAATCACATTCAGGGGTTACTTYGTAGGCACACTCAATACGGGCTGGATGAATGCTGAATAAAGCCCTAAGTYATGAAAGCCAACAAAGAGCTCMAGARKCTATTTTAGGAGTTGATGTTTGATYCCCATATAATTGTTTGCTTTGTGCAACAATGCACAGTCAAGATGCAAAATGTGATTTATCTCTTCAAACTTGTTTAGAATCACTGCAGTACACAGATACCTTTAAAGAATCCATCCAGGACTTGGATGCCATTTGAATCCCTGACCCTGGACAAGCAGCTGGCCATCCCACTGTACTGCATGAGGTAAAGATGCACCCAGGCAACATTTCCTGGAGCAACCAKCTCTCTCTTTTCAAATCAAGTTTCACTTTTACATGTAAAAGGAGGGGAATTGTACTGTATAAATAGCCAGTGGAATTGACTCAGCAGTGGAGGAAAAAWTCAATACTGCAGATACAAATTCAATTAACAGATTTCATCAAGTTAACAACAATTTCACACTTACCTTCCATAAATTTCCACTGAAGGATTTCACTAACACAAATATACATAACTTCACTGTTTTCACTACAGCAGAATAGGGTAATAGAAGGCCAAAAAACTATAATGGAGCAAAATCCCATTTTCTTTTACCCACAGGTTTTCCTTAACCCCCTGAATAAAAGGCTGTCCTGGGGGCAAAGTAGCACTGTCTGAAGTTTTAAAAGACTATTCTTATTCTCAGTTGGACGATGACTAAGCTACTCCTGCAACAGACATACTGAACTGCAGGAATTCAGTAAGCTTTTGGTGTATTACACAAAGGAGAAGAAAACTTTARGAAAAATTTTCTGTAGATGAGACCTCCAAAGTCACTCATGCAGCAGARTAAGTGGATGCCAAGGGAATAGAGCTTATACTCCAGACTCTACCATAGATTTATTGGCACTTTCATTCAGAATGGGAGAAAAAACTCTAAGAAACCCCCCCTAAATTACAGTAAATCCCTCAAATGCTTTTCTGAGCAAAATTTCCATTCTTGTATATCTATTTAGTGCAGAGAAATTCCCAATTTCAACATAATTATTGAATTTAATTCCCACCCTCATCTTCCAGAATTTTAAGGGRAACCAAATTCCAGGGGCAAACTGGAATTTTATGGAGAACCAAATTCCAAGGGAAAACTGTTGCCCCGCCTCTAGTTTTAAAAACTGCTGTTATGACACAAAATATTTGTGAAACTTTTACATTAAAAAGTTGGTAGCTGTCACTTTTATTGGAGTAAAAAACCCCAAMAAAACAGATTGAGAAAGTGCAGAAACCTGAATGACAGCAGATKATTAAAATGGGAACACTGACATAGCTGATGAGAAAAGGAAAAATGATTAATTGCCTACAATGGGCATATTTAGGAAGCATGATRTATGTGCTACAACTTTAGGACTGACAACTTCCAAAGCCGGAAAAAGAGCAAGTAAATTATAAAATAGAATTAGACTGATCCTAATCATTACAAATAAATGCATCCTTAGTATTACTGCATTGAGATATCTGGCTAAGAAAAAAGACAWACATGAACACCTTGGATTCTGAAATTGAAATTGTTTAATTGGTTGTGGCACCAAGGTTCTGCTTTTTTAAACATATGATCTACCACTAACAAGCCTTATGTTTTAACAKATAATACTCTATCATTAAAAATAATTTTTTAAAAAATACATATTTTCTCTTCTAAACCAAACTGTCTGAGARAAGTAGAGTAGGTTCACTCCTCAAGCATTACTGAAGAGCAGCTAGACAGTAAATATACACAGTAGTGTTTTTTCTACTCATGACAATTTGGGTTTTAAGCTAAACCAAGCTTTCTGAAAATTACCTTGTAAGAGCAGGAGTAGCCATGCCAGCTTGCACTCCAATAGCCATAGGAATACCTGCACAGCGGATATTTCCCAGCTCTTCTGCCACTGCAATATTGTAGGAGAAGTCCAAGCCCATGCCGCCATATTCTGAGGAAAAAACAAATCTATGATTGTCRTGTTCTAGACTGGCACAGGCAACAAGAAAAAAACAACAAAAAAGATATGTTGCTACCGCAAGGACTTGCCAACTGCAATTTAACTGCTTATTTTTAAGTATTTGACAATGACAAGCTTTCCCTTCACTAAAGCAATACTACACTAGTCTTTACCATATTTGAATTGAGAATTACACCTCCTCTAATTATCCGTGTGCACATCAGGTCACCTCTGAATATCCTAAGCAGCCTCATTACTTTTACTGGAAGCAGCAGGAAGAAGCGACACGCTGTTGAAAACGACATCAGAAGGCAAAATTATTCTTTGCACCAGCAAGGTCATAKGAACAAACCACACCACAAGGTAAGAAGTGCTTTTATTTCCCTGATGACACTGACACCCACTCTTGTCCCACAGTGCCACGATCTCTCTCAGACACAGCAGTCAAGTGAGCACGGAGCAAGGCCACATGCAGGTCGTGTTTCTGTGCTAAATTACTGTCGTGGTTCCAAATTCATGTTAGACACAACCTCAGAACCAAAGATGTGTATTTCACACGCTGGCACCTGCTGTGCCGTGTTCTTTGGTCACAGGGGGCTGACAAGCTGGGGTGCTGGCCCAAAGCCAGCACAGGCCATTGCTCCCCTTCTCCATCCCCCACATTCCAATCTGCAAATTCAATTAAAGGGGAATTTATTCTTCACCTCATTTCCATGCCCAGCGCTGATAAACCCACCACACAGTGAAGCACAGAAAAGGGCTACGTTGCGGTGATGGATGAGGTAATTTTTAGCTGTATTAAARGCTTATATTCCAAAGGAAATGTGGTGTAAAGTGAAGGTTACTGCTTGACGTCATTAGCTGACTGAGCAGCTTTGATTAGATAACATTGCCTCTTTATTTTTTTTTTTTAGCTCCTTTGAAGACCAGCTAGGAAAGTTTCAAATAAATAGACACAAACCCTCACTATGCACGCACACAATATGGGGCAGATGACCCTCTTCTGTTTTCACTTGCTGACCTCAAACACTGAGCACACCCCTCTACTGACCTGCTCTGAAGTTTCCAAAAAACACCATTAAATAAAAGTAAAAACACCACAGTGCATGTAAACAAGGGGCTTTGCTTGCCATCATCTGTTTCCTAAGCCCACAGAAAATATCTTTGTGCATCCTTTCTCCACTGAAAGGAAAACACAAAAACCTCTTTTTTTTTCAAAAAACCTCTTTCCTTGGGTCATACTGAATGGTATAGACTGTCAGAATTTAAAGATGGCTACTTTTACAAAAGTAAAAGCCATTACTTTTGCCTGAAAATAATGTTTCTTAAAAACATACACAAAATTAAAGTTGTTACTGGGAATTTAAGCAGTACGACATCAACATGGAAACGTGTTTAGCATAACAGATAATCTGATTTTCTTGCCTTTACACKGCCCCCACCAATAAATAAATGCTCTGAGGAGCAGTAAGGAATGTATGCACACGTAAGGCAGGACTATTTAAAGATATCTGGCATGACAGAGATTTTGCTAATTTTGAATGAATCTATAGCAGAGTTATAATAAATAACCTCAGTTTTGGTACCTCACTAATGGTTTTTATTAGATTTTTTTTAATCAGTCAATACTTTCATTGCCAAACTATAAAATCAGTTATTACTGATTTTGTCTCTAGTTTTTTCTGCCAGGCAGTTATATTTCCATCTTTCACTTAAATTTCACAAATCAAAACCTTACTTTCTTAATTTACCCAAAGTAACTTCCCAGGAGGAATGTTACGCACAAAACTGACCCAAGGAAGGGCTACTTTATCCAAGTATACAGTTTATAGACAATTTTGGTCCCTACCACAATCCACCRTATAATATCACATAACAGACTCTTCTTGCTCTCATTTGAGATTAATCAATAAGCAATACATTCTAAAARCAAAATACTGCAAAAGGCCAGCTTTTAAAGGAATAATACTAAAAGAATTTCATTCCAAAGGGAGTAAAGGAGCAGAATGAACATTTAGGAACTGGAGGCGGACAAGGAAGCCCTGCCAGGCAGAGAGATGATAAAATCCAAAGATTTTATAATCTGGGGACAGATAACCCCGAAGACAACCTCAGATTCAGGCAGGAAAGGCAGAAGCAGATGGTAAAAACATCARTTAGACCACACCTAAGGTTTCACCAGTTCTGTTCCAGGAGCCAAGAAGATAAAGTTTCATGGAAAAATGTGAATGGTTTGATGGACCTTGACAGGGTCCTTTTTGGGCTTTTTTTGAGCCCAAAACACTTGATCAAGATGGAGACTGCCTTGTCAGTGCATTCTGTGATGCTGTATCCCCAGGAATTTGGGTAACTTTTGCCATGGCTAAGCACAGTTTGGAGATGGGACCTCCACCCCAAGCCAGGCTGCCAGGAGAGTCACACACAGCCATAGCAGGCAGTGCTCAAYACAAGTACCAAAGAAAATTTCTCTTTTCATCAGCTCCTGGTGGCAGCCTGGYGCTCACAGCCCCACTGCTGGCACTCCAATCGCTATTCTGGGGCTGGTCCCAGCACAGGTCCCTGCCTGACATGGGAATCAACTCTTAAACCAAGACAAAACCCCAGGTCATTCTCATTGCCATCTGCTTCAGTGATGATGGGGAATGTTTGGTGGAATTTATGTTTAGTTTTGATTTGGAATAGGACTTACTCTTTTTGGAATAACTCTTATTTGCAAAAAAAAGGGAGTATGCTGGTGGTACAGTTTCAAAAAAAACCACCACTTCTGGAAAGTATCTGTACCATGATGTAAAGCTAATAGGTCAATTAAATTTTAATTCAGAARGGCAAACACCATGCCTAACAGAGGAGTGAAAGTGTTGATGAAATTTTTGGTGAAAAATCCATAACGAAAGGAACCAAATCAATTTTGGTTTTGATTGCTTTATAAAACAAACAAACAAAGAAACACACAGAACAAAATCCAACAAAAATAAACAACAACAACAGAAAAAAAACACACAAAAAAACCGCCACATCAAGAATAACAAACTATAATTAAATATTCTCATGTAAAACATTTCTGGGGTAAATGTTTCATTTAACTTTAAAATGAGATGAGGACCTTTAGAGAATTGTTTGGCTACATTACCATTTTTATCTTGCCAGAAATTTAAAAGAACAAAGCACAAACTAAATTAAACTGGTGGAAAGTCTAATGCACTATTGCTTTTATAATTGAAAACAGGTAGAAAAAGGCAACTCTGTTATGTTATTTCTGTKTTGATGATAATAGCACAACTTCCAACTGTTAAATGGCTTAATATGACATCTTATCCATTGTCAGATTTCAGGTTCTTTTACAAAGCAATTAAAGCATAAGGCCCMAAGCAGGAACACGCAAATAAATAAAGATACTGCACTGCAGACCATGGGCAGGACCCAAGCTGCAGGAAGGAAAAAGTGTGAGAAGGAAGGAATAGCAGAGAGGATGTGCTCTGGGCTGGCTACAACCTCCCATCCTCATCCCACTGTGACACTCGGGGTGGGGAGTGAAGTGGGTGACTCAGGAATGAAGAACTGAAGTTGAACTTAGGAAGAAGCAGGAGAGGTYGGTGAACCATCTTGTTTTAATTTGCCTCTGCTTCTCACTAAACAGATCTRTTTTAATTGGCAGGAAATTAAAACATTTCTCCCTCAGCCAAGTCTGCTTTTTACCATGACCGTAAATGRTGACCAATCTCCCTGACTTTTTCTCAGCAGCCTTGGCGTTGTATTTGCTCCCCATCCTGTTGAAGAGGGAGTGTGAGCTATTGGCTGGCCAAGGTGAACCCACCACACYAYAGTCAATATATTTATGCATGCTTTTTAATTGGCTCTCTGTTTTTCTGTTAATCACCACCACCATCACATTATTTTAACACTCCCACGCTAAAAAAGCTCCTTAATTTATATAGACCAGCATATACTTACATGCCATGTTTGTGACCCTAGGAATGGACTAGTGTTGTGGAAATCCAAAAGAACACAGTGGATTTTTTAAAAAACATTGTTTTTAAAATATGCATGTGCACATTATAGTAAATCTGATTATACAGGGTATCAGGACTTTTATACATGAATATAGGACAAACAGCACAAAACTAGAATTAAAAGAGCAAGATATGTCAGTTGCAACATGTCAAAATAGAAATACTGCAGAGAAGATCAGCTGGAAAAACAAAGGCAAGGGAAGTCCATGGAAAAGGACTCATGAAGGSAAATGAGAAGCTGAATTCTTTCATACAATAATTTCATTTTTGTGAAGACCAGAGCATTTCTTGCCACTTGTTCAAGATCCCTGCTCAAATATGACTGTGTTTAATGGTGAGATAGGCTTGAAGTCTCTAGTCAAAAATTTGTAAGAGTTCACATGTGTCTCTATTTGGAATTTGCTTCTGAACCCCATGTAGTAGCTGTCAGTGGGAATGACAACATCTGTGGTGAAAAGGTGTAAGTGATTTGAAGTAAAGTGAAACAGGGGGTTCTCAGAKTGTTTTAAGAATGTAAGTGAGCCCRRAAAAAGGAATGGTGTTAACAATACAGCCATATGCAGAATTCATTTTAAATGCTTATATATTTTGTTTGTTCACATAGTTCCCAAAGTTTGAATAAAGTGTATCTATACCAAAGAAAATCACTCAGTATTATTTCTACTATTGGCACCTACCTCAGTGCAAGRAAAACACAAATTTGTGCTCTCATTTCAAGCGACTAGGAAGAAAAATAAAGCACGAATCAAGTCCCATTTTGAAGATAATTTGTGAGACTCCTACATTTGACAGTAGGATGACAGAGTTAATTGCCAGTGCTCATCACAGCCTRCAGTTTTAAATCAACAGAAGTAAAATTTAAGTTTTCAAACCTTATTCACCTGTCGTAAATATGGTTCAAGAATTTCCACTCTAGAGAACTACAAAATGCAAATGTAATCAGGTAGGACAGTACAGAAATCTAAATAATAATTTGTTTCT